ATTTAAAGAATATGGCACCAAACGAGAACCTCTCACTTAAAGAGTTGACTCTTAAAACAACCATCCTGTTGGCGCTTACGTCTTCAGCCAGGGCTCACGAACTCGCAGCATTGCACTTGGATTATGTATCCCAAAAGGAGAACGGTTGGGAGTTTGTAATACCTAAACATGTAAAGAATTCTCGGCCGAATCACCCAGCAAGAAAGATTTATCTTCCATCCTTACCAGAAAACCAAAAGATTTGTGTTATTGAGAGTCTGAAACAGTACGTTAATCGAACAGCTCGTATTCGCAAGGACCAGCATCTACTGGTGTCATATACCTTACCACACTCGGCTATTGGAAGTCAGACTGTATCACGCTGGATACGCACTGTATTGTCCAATGCAGGTATTGATGCTCAGTACACGGGTCATTCTACGCGGGCTGCAGCAACATCAATGGCTGCCGAGAGCGGTGTTCCTCTTGAGGATATCATAGCTGCTGCTGACTGGTCTTCTGCAACAACGTTCGAGAGATTTTGCCACAAGGCTATCTCAAAGGATACGTTTGTTAAAAGTATTTTGGCCCCGGACATACAAAAATGACATTACTGTTTGCATTCCAAGATACATTATTTGACGACTTTTGGAAATGTGTTGTTGATATTGTTTTGTACAGTGTTCATTTAAAAAAAAAAAATGTTTACATTGATTAACAGCTGTCTTTAAAATCTGCACCAGTATTGTGAGTATCAGTCGGAGAAGGAGTGAAGGAGAAATAGTATTTCCTCGGAAGGTACTTACCTGAAGGGGAGATATGGTTCTCCGAACTCCTTCAAAGACTGATACGAGCAATACTGGTCCCCGTACCAGTGGTGGCAGATACCTGTACCACCCCACCCTAGTCTGTTAATCAACATTCAGCTTGCCACTCAATCAGAGGATGTCAGTACGCATGCGTATGAATTAATTAAAATCGTGGGTTCCAAGCCGTCGCGCGCCGCGAACTGCACCAGTCTTTGAAGGAGTTCGGAGAACCATATCTCCCATTCAGGTAAGTACCTTCGGAGGAAATACTATTTCTCTCTCTACGTTTTCCCCGGTTTGTTGAGGGTATCTGCCCTATCGAGTAAAGTATTAACTACAGATCGCTTGTGTTGTGGAGGGTGATTTGACGTGTAATCCAGGTATTTGTCCGTATGCATTTCTTTACGGTAAACATCAACCCTAATTTGACCATTTTTCCTAATTGTTACAGTATCCAAGAATGGTAATCTATTATTTTCTTCCGCTTCAATGGTGAATTGGGTTTTCTTGTCTATTGAATTTAAATGCTGATATAACTCCTCTACATATTTACGTTTTAGGCAAGCATGGCTATCATCAACAAACCTGAACCACCAACGGGGTGGGTTGAGAGCAGTTGTTAAAGCAATTTCTTCTATGTGTTCCATAACGAGATTGGCTATTGTGGCGCTAATCGGAGATCCCATTGCGCAACCGGACGTTTGCTGATAATATTCATTCTTGTATGTAAAATAACTGTTCTTCAACACAAACTCTAAAAGTTTTAAAATGTTAGATACTGACATTTCTGTTCTGGTTGATAATTCTCGATCACTTTCAAGTTTGTCCCTAGATATCTTTAAAGCTAAGTTGACAGGGATAGACGTAAACAAAGATACGACATCAAATGAGACCATGACTTTATCAGTTGAGATAGACATGTCCTTTATGCGTTTACTAAAGTCAGTGCTATTACGCACAGTATATCCCCCTTTAATTAGAGGTGATAAAACAATTACTAAGTGTTTTGAAATATTGTACGTAGGAAATGAAATAGAGCTGGTAATCGGACGAAGCGGTATGTCTGGCTTATGGATCTTAGATAAACCATAAAACGTTGCCGCGGTGATGCGCTTGAACTATGTAAGTGGTCATAAAGTTTCTCATTAATCTGTGGTAAATTGTTATCGTTATGCAACCTTTCCGACTTCATATCTCGTAGAAGTTTGTTAAGATCTTGTTCAACTTTGCTGGTATGGTTTCTACGTCTATCTGTAATTCTTAAGTAAGTCTTTTTATCAAGTAATAAATCAGAAATTTTCCTATCGTAATCATCAGTATTCATTACAACAATCGCTCTCCCTTTGTCAGCTGGAACAATAGTAATATCTTTGTCTTTCTTCAAATTTCTTAAAGCATGACTCTGTTGTTTAGAAATGTTAGTTGTGCTTAACGCCTTAGTATTTTTTAAAGTATTAACGACAGATGCTCGTATAGTGGCTTTGCTTTCTTCACTTAAATGGTAAATGCCTGGTTCAATGCTGGCAATTATTTTCGGAACGGGAATACGTTTAGGTGTAATGGCATAATTCAAACCGTTTTCAAGTATCTGCGTTTCCTGTGTGTTCAGTTGTCTTATAGATAAGTTAATTACCCGTCTCGATTTATCAACATATGCTTCGGTATTTTTTAGTACATCTAAAGAATTAAGTTTTTGTTCATGCTTGGTCTTAATAGTATATCCTTCATTTTGTCCGAGTTATACTGTATATACTTAACGACATCTTGGAGGTCTTTCAAATGTTCTGGCGATAAAATGTTTGATAAAATGTTTAAATTGTCGTGATACTCATCCTGTTTCCGTTTGATCTTATGATGACTGTGTTGAATGCGAAGTCTCAGGAAGCTCCAACCCGCTTTTGACATTATATCTGTACCTTCTCTGCAAACAACCGGTGGCGTAAATCGGAGACTTTTGGGTAGTATCTTGGCGTTCTTTAACTCGTGGTTGAATGACAAATACTCCTTCTGTTTGGCAATGCTACAGGACTTCCTTTCAAGGTCTCTTGCGATGTTCTGCTTGTGATTTTACTGATATGTTCTGCTTATTTATTGCTTATTTATTTTATTGATATGTTCTGCTTGTGATTTTACTTATTATGGTCAAACCAACCGAGCATTGAAAACAAGAATAAAAGAACATAAAAGAGCTGTTGAATATAATGATAAGAATTCTAAGATAGCCCAACACGTTGAGCAATATGACCATAATATGGACTTTGAAAACGCCGAAATAGTTAGTAGAGAGAATAATTATCGCAAACGATTGTTCCTTGAGGCTTGGTATTCCCAAGTGAAAAAAAGTTCTGGCAATGACCATATTGACATTCCAGACGTTTATGGGTCACTAATGCATCCAAATTAATAGCTAACGAACCATTTAAATAGAGGCCAGTTTATTGGCTTCTTAGTTTTTAATATCAACTGACGAAGATCGGAGGTTTCTGATCGAAACGTCTTGTAAAAACTTTTTATAAACGTGATTACGTTTTTTACATAGCTAGTGACAAGAAACTTTTAATCTTTTAATATATATATATATATATATATATATATATATATATAT